TATAACTGGTCTTGCGCTGGCCAGAGTGAACTAACCGGAGTCTTAGATAGATTTGTTTGATTTGTATGCATTTGAGGAAGTTGATTCTCAGGGATGGACAGATGAGCCAGAATTCCAAAGGTTTAATTATAGTATTTTTGTGTGTTCAATTCGGATATATCTGTATATCATTTCGGACAGAAAAAATAAAGGGTAAAAAACTCAAAAAATCTAAAAGATTTATAAAACCCTGAAGTTCAACCAAGATATGTTAGGACGAAGAAAGTTTGTTCCCTAAAAGCACCTCAAATCAAATCTCGAATTTATATAGACAACCGAACAATTTACCTTAGTTAAATATTCTGAAAAAAAAAAACCAATTGAGCTGGGAAAACCCCATTTTTTACATTAACAATATAGAATTCTGGAAATTGATTTCTTGGCAGATGTTTTTCTTCATTACTTCCCATTTCACCTTCGTACTTGTGATTTTTTTTTCTTTTCCCCATCTCTTTTTGAACCATTGACAAATTGGATACAACTTCATTCTTGATTATTAAACTTCCCAGCCTAAGATTACCTTCCAATTTTTATTTTTTGGTACCTTTTCGGAGGACTTCTATTCAGGCTTTTAAAGTTTTCCTACTCTCCAATTGAGTAGGTTAGACATACAGTGAAAAATTTTCGCCATAGTTCCTGTCTTGATCTCTGAGTGAGTAGTGTTCGTTGCAAGGAAAACATTTTTATTTTTCTGTTTGGAAAATTAGAAGACCTGTGGTACTTGGGATAGAATACGGTGATCGCGACTAAATCTCATGGGTCCGATCCTATCCCAAAAAAAAAAAAAAAAAACCTTCGTGTTTCAATTGTCAGAGCACGGTACAAGAAGAATGCAACAGGTCTTTTATATCAATACAATCAACACAAGCATAGTTTCAAGGGGGGTAAAAAGTAATTAACCCCATTTTCCAGTGGTAGCCTACTAGAGAGATTGCATGGAGCAGCCGCCAAAAATGCATAGTAGGGCGGAAGGCACGACATAGGATGAACTTCCCGACGATCTTCTGGCTAAGATATTACTATCAGCAATATTACTATAGGAGTGAAGACACTGTGCAAGTTAATGTGTGCATGCAAACAGTGGCGTAATCTTTTGTCCAAGAACAAAAGAACAAGAACGTCCAAGAAGACTCTACTCAGCGGCAGGAGGAACAAAGACTCTACTCAGCAGCAGAAGGACGTCCAAGAACAAAGACTCTACTCTAGGGTAGAGTATAGCTCCATATATCCACGATCTCTTTTCCGTCGAGCCGAGAAATATTTTCTACCCAATCTTTGAGTCCTGGCCCCTGTATTCGAAGCTCTTTCCCTGAATATTTCAGGGTACCAGTAAATCCTTGTAAATGGTCCAACCACAGCAGTCGAGCCTCTATACCATTTTTACATTGCTCTTTTATATTTTGCTGCTTCATCCAGTCGCGAGCTTCTCCGGTGAATGCAAATTTGTTTTTATCCTTATTCCATCTGGTTCGGCATATGAAGAATGACCCTCCAGTTGCATTTTCGGGGAGTTGGACGGGCATTGGTGGGTGAGGGTTGGGTTGCTGTACGCGTGGGAGTCTATCCGCCATGGGGTTTGAAGTCTGGGGATTTTAGGAGTTCTTAGCAGGAGTTCTTAGCTTAGCTGCTAGTTACTAAGGTTCTGTTTCCCGTCTTGGACTGCGTGGATATTTATAATGTCGTCGAGCTGAATCGGACTGCTAGGATAGGATAGAGCGCAGGAAAAAATCAAAGGCAGAGACAAAGGAAGACCATGCATTACTATTCTTTGAATACCCACTGATTTATGTAATCGGTCATATGGCATGACTATTCTTTGAATACAAACTGTGTTTTATCCGAATTTGAGCGTGATGTCTAATTTCCAATTAAAGCTAGTAGAAAGCTAAGGCTGGCAGGTCTGAAACGTGGGCATTGGGCTGGAAGTGGGTTCCAGTACTTTCCTGGCACCACGCCTAGGATGTGCCAGAGCATCATGGACGTACCACTTAGCGGAATAACAACTAACTCCACGTTAGTCTTACACACTAAAGGTCCCCAGTTCGATCCTGGGCAGCATCACGTTGCAGCCATGTTATTGCGTACTAACAAAATTGACGATTGAAATTGTTTTGGTTTTGGTGATTCGAAAACATTTTCATCTTTTTAAGATGTGATGGTGCAACGGTTAATACATTGGTTTTCTATTACAAAGGTCTTGAGTTCGAATCTTGATAGCTGCATTTTGTCATTGACCATTTGGTTCAGTGGTCATCAGTCATCACCCTCTTTGGTGATGCTGGAGGTCAGGGGTTCTACCCCTGCTTCCCTCAAATTTGCCACAATATGTGGCTGGTCTTAGTTGACCATCTCCCCTTACCCCTTCCCCCTAGATTAGGCTAGATTAGGTTATAGGACATCTACCGTTACCGACAAAAAAAAAAAAAAAAAACTAACTCCACCGCCTTATGGAATTAAATGTTTTTCTTTTTCTTGGATAAATATATGATTTAAATGTTAAATGCTGATTTGTAGAACTCTGACCAAGTAGGACTGAAAACAAGTCTCAACGATGCGGACAGAGGTATGTTTAAAATTAGTTTAAAGATTAAAAGTAACGTTTGAACTTAACTTGTGTTTGATAATATTTTGAAAGACATTTATCAAGTTTGGTTTGAAATTTTAGATGCATGTTCATGAAAAGTTTGTCTTGGCTATGGCTGAAAACAAGTTTCAACGAATCAAACAGAGGTATGTTCAAAATTAGTTTGAAAATTTAAAAAAAAAAATTGAACTTGATTTGTATTTGATAATTTTTTGAAAGAAACTGATCGAATTTGGTTTGAAATTTCAAATATATGTTCATGAAAAGTTTGACCGGGCTTGTCAAAATGTCAAATTCAAACACATACAATCAAAACTTGGCTTAGCTTGAAATTTGTGTTGCATTATATTAGATTTTCACACAAATTTGTTGCTTTTTGCCCTTAATTTTTGCTCTATGATATTTAAAAATCTATTATGATGAATTAAGGATGTGATTAAAGTCAATTTTGCATATTCAAGAAATCTGTTACGATGAGTTAGGGATGTGATTAAAATCAATTATACATATTTAAAAGACAAGAGTATTATATGCTTGCTATTTTATAAGATAAACAATAATATATAGGAAGAAAAGAAGCGGAATAAGGAAGGAAACTATAGGTATGTTTTTATGAAATTTACTTGCTTTATATTTTTCTGAACATATAGAGTCGAATATCGTGAAGATCGTGATTGGTTCGCTAATATTTTCGAGTTTGAAGTCATGTTCAAATTTGGATTGATACCTAAGCAAACAAGTTTGAGCGAATTTTAGTTCAAGTTGAGTTCAAATCGAGTACCAAACTATTTAATTCGATTTACAACTCTATGACCTAGAATCTAATTGCTGGTGCATTAAGAAACTGTTTTCGTATATGGATTTAAAAAAGGGCTTGCAAAGAGAGAACCACATGATGGATTTAATTTATGCTGGGGTGATTTTTATTGTGGCAGTTCTCTTGATTAAAAGCTCAAATTTGCGCGATACGATCTCAAATTTATGGAACCAGAAAACAAAAGGAAAAAGGTTAATAAATCACGGCAAAAGTGGTGCTTCTTAAGTTAAGGTTTGTCTAACGAATCCAATGAGTAGTTGTTAACACATCTATATTTCACCCAATTTACCATATATATGCAGGCTAATAATTACTAACTTTCCTCACATTTATACACTCACCTCCCCTCTAATTATAATAAAATTAAGGATAAATTACACTCACCTCCCCTCTAATTTTTTAGAAATGCTATACACCTCCCTTCTCAATTTTGAGATAATAGAGATTTACCTTCTAGATTACTATATATTATCAATCACTTCTCTTACCATTAACCAGATAACAAAATTTAACTCATCTTGCCATTCATACACTCATATGTTCTCAAACTGCCCCTTCAAAAAATATCTAGGTTTCATTCCAGAACATTCCCCAGAAACCTTGGGAAAACATGAAAGGGTTAAAGCTATTCAGCCATCATTTGCGTATTCATTTTCACATTGAAGTTTGAAACAACGAAAACTTATTTCCTTTCTAAATTTGCCATTGGCTAATTTCTTGACCACCTCTTAGAGAGTGTCCTGTTAAAAGTTAAACCTTGTCCAAGAAGAACCTTGGCTAGCTAATCGCACACCAGCATAATTTGATTTCGATTAGGAAGCCTGTAATTGAGTAATATTCAAAATTTTAAAATTAAAAAGGCAAAGAATAACCGGAAGCTTTGCAATTCAAGGCTTAAGCCAAGTAGAAGCAATGAAAACTAATAAAAAATAAAATAATTCCAAATCCGTTAAACTGGTCTACGATTCTGCAAGCACAGTATTCGAACTGCATTCAAGAAGATCAACCACAATATTGACCCCTGATTTGGTCAAACTTCTCGGGGGGAAGCGTAGTTATATATTAACACTAAAAAGAAAATTACTAATATCATGAACTTGTGAGTTGGGACGTCGATTCAGAAAGGACACTAATCTCTACACAACTAATGCTGGAGAGATTTTCGGCTAAGTGATCTCAGTGATGCACTGGATAACTAATCCTGAAGAGATTTTCGGCTAAGTGATTGATTCTGCGTATTAAAGATGGCATCTTTAATGTTTATCGAAGATGGGATCTTTAATACTTATCAGTTAGTATTTAATAAAGTCTCAAGGAAAGAAACATTTTTATTTTTCTGTTTGGAAAATCAGAAGACCTGTGGAACTTGGGATCGAATACTAGTCTCAGTGATGCGCTAGATAACGAATCTTAGAGAGATGTTCGGCTAAGTGATTCAGAAAGGGGACACTAATCTCAGTAGTACGCTGGATAACTAATCTTGAAGATTTTCGGCTAAGTGATGGATTCTGCGTATTAAAATGGGATCTTTAATGCTTATCGGTTAGTATTTAATTACATCTCAAAGAAAGAAACCTTTTTATTTTTCTGTTTGAAAAATAAGAAGACGTATGCTACTGGGGATAGAATAAGGTGATCGCGACTAAATCTCATGGCTCCGATCCTATCCAAAAAAAAAACCCTTTATGTTTCAATTGTCAGAGCACCAGGTTTTTCAGTATCAACACAAGCATAGTTTCAAGGAGGGTGAAAAGTAATTAACCCCATTTTCCAGTGGTAGCCGACTACAGAGATTGCATGGAGCAGCCGCCAAATATGCTTTGGGCGGAAGGCAGGACATGGGATGATCTGCCTGACGATCTTCTGGCTAAGATATTACTATCAGAATTTATTGGAGTGAAGACTCTGTGCAAGTTAAGGTGTGTATGCAAACAGTGGCGTAATCTTTTGTCGGACCCTCTTTTCCAAAGTTTACACTATGAGCTCTCCAAGAAACATCCTATGCTATTGGTTTTGGATACCTATACCTTTGATGACAGAGACATAATTTACTTCACGAATTTGGATTTAGATGATGGTCAGGAAGATCCAACTGCCGGCAACAATGAGATTATGACGATTAGCACTGGCATTAGTCATATTGATGGCAGGCTTCGAATGTTGTCATCATCTTCAGTGGCCCGTGGTCTAGTGTGCTTAGCCAATTCACACAGATATTTTCTGTGTAACCCTAGCCTCAAAGAGTTAATCACGCTACCAGAGCCCACCGTTGGGCGCCTCTATGTCGACGGAGGGGGTTTCGGATTCATTGACACCAGGAATGAATATATCGTGATCCACTTGATTGCTCCCAAACCCAGCGGGCCAAGCCCTATCATTGGTTGTGAGATCCTGAGAATCTCGGCCACCGTTTCTGCTGCTGGTGCTGGAGATACTAATAATGTCAATAGTAGTAGTAGTGGTATATTATTAGGGGGATCATGGGAAAAGATTGGTAGCAAGTGTCCTTATCAGATCGATGCTGTTGATCTGGAAGGTTGGGGAATTTTCGTAGATGGTATCTTTTACTGGAGAGTGGAGACAGAAGACGGCAACGATATTCGCATCTTATCCTTCAATTTGGATGAAGAAAGATTTGAAGATGTTCCCCGGCCACCGGCTAGAGGGCTATTAAACGGGATCCTAGATGATTACTGTAGGTTTCCAAGTTTGGTGGAATTGAAAGGAAACCTTTGTTTGGTGGATCCATATGCAGCAACTATAGAACCCACTTCCATGGTGGATATATGGGTGCTGACAAAGGATAAGTATCAGGAGACCACCACGACATCATCATGGATAAAAGAGTTGAGCATTCCATTGCCAGGTTTTGACTATCAATTTCATGATATTGATGTTGTCGGGGATGTCGATGGCGATGGTAGCTTACTAATTTACACGACTTGGCATCCGATGGAGAACGGACTCACGTGGCAACCGAATGTTTGGCGCTACAGCCCCCAGCATAATGAATTTAGGAAATTGAAAAGCTTGAAAAGCTTTGACATTCCAGGGGGTGAAGCCCCTTTGTTCTGCCTCCACACCGATAGCTTCTTCTCAGTTCGAAATAGACGAGATACGGATTCAGATTAGTATAATAATGATTAGTAGTTAGATGTGCATGTCTCGACCAGCCGCACTCTCTTCTGTTTCTACACGTGCGGCGGAAGGATTCACGTCAAGGATTATCCTTTGAGAAAGTACAATTCGTGATTAACTTTCTCCAACACCCTGCACTACTTCTTTGCTTTTTCACGATACTCTTCCTGTCATGTGATCTTGCAATATTTTCTTTATTACTGATGCAGCGTTTTCCTTGTTACCATACCTTCCATTAATGATATCGTACTTGTCCTTTACCAATGTTTTTTCCTTGGATGTCTTCTAAGAATATAATTAAAAGAGAAAGGCAAGAAAGCCTATACTGGCTCATGCTCATTCGCTGCTACAGGTACTGCAGATTAAAAGAGAAAGGCAAGAAAGCCTATACTGGCTCATGCTCATTCGCTGCTACAGGTACTACTGCAGTAGCAGTTCCTAGAAGCTGCAGTTGTCAATAAAGTCACATTTTTTAATCCTCAAAATTTGTTGTAGAAAATTCCAAAAATGGCCATATTGCTTTAAAATTAGTAGTACTTGTTGAGCCCGATTGTTATATCTCAGAAGCACTGAATTGACCTAAAATTTGAGAATCACCTTCATTCAATTGCTCATTGCATGGTTACGTTCCACTGTTCCCTTCTCCTCGTTCACTTCATTAATTCATCCTAAACACTCGAGATCCTTGCCCCTTTAATCTTTCTTCTTTATACCCAGTAAGAACTCGAAAAGGCAAGGTTCCGTTAACACGCAAACATGCATAGTGAAACACTGAACAAGGAGGAGTCAAATAGTTGTTAACCAAAACCACCCTACAAGAATATTCTCGCTTTAAGTAATTGCTATCGGGAAAAAATTCCATGATCACTTAAAAATCACGCAAATGAATTCTATAGCGCCGTTGAATTAATACTAGGAGGGTACACACCGCGCGACGCGCGGTGAGGTTATATGAGATTGCCATGCCCCATCGAATGAGATTATTCTAGTACAAAATAAAAGGAGGAAAACACTAAGAGAAAGCTAAATAATATGATATTAAAGCCAGTAGCAGATACATGCCTATTTCAATATCAATAACAATGTTCTATAACTTATTACATTTGTCTTGATTGTTTATATATTAGGAAAATTTTTATAAGTGATATAATGTACAACATTTTGGAATTAGATAACTACGATTAAAGAAGACAAATTATTAAACTGGAAATACAATTCAAAATCCAAGAAGAATTGGTGCTAGAATGCGTAATCAAGGTTGTAATCTATCTTCCCCCCCCCCCTTTGGTAGATTTAACTAATTGAAATTGCAATAAAAAAATGCCTTCGGAATGAAAGAATGTGATAAATTCCATATTCAAGCATTCTTGTCTCATTATTTCCTATCAAGAGATAGTAGCACTCAGTGAAGGCAAGGCCTCGAATAGCAACTACCTATTAACGACGGAGCCTGATCTTCCTCTTCAATGTTGTATGCAACTATCACGATTGGAGACTTCCTAGTATCGTTTCAAAATATCCTTGAACCATGCGATGTTTTAGGCAACCAAAAGCAATTGCGAATACAGAAGTTTCCCCTCTTAAATACCATACACCAACAGATAGAAATATGAGATCCAAAACTCCAATCATGTTTAGGAGAAAAATATCCGCGATCAAATTCCATCCCCTCTACAATGTGCAGGCTATTTTTACCATAGCTCCATGTCTCACTTCTTCTTAATTCTCTTCCTACTTTTGAAAAGAGTCAGAAGTCCTGTTTCCTACTGCATAATCATTTCCTGTACTAACAATAGCAATATTTACAAAATCATGACCGGCAAACCTACAATCATCAGAAATTTAAAACTTAAAATGATTTTTCTTCTTGCAATAGTACAAAGATGGCAAATTACCTCCCTGATGCCAATTTGAGTTCTGAAACAAGCATTTTGGTAGTTTTATCAAATCCCATATGAGAGCTGAATATGTTTCATCCTGGAAAAAAAAAACAATGAAAAGTGAAAATGGAACATTTTAAATTGCTTTGACACAATAATGGCAATTTCAAAAGCAATTGATAGCGGTAGCAAAGTCACCTTTAACTTTGATAACTTTAATTAAAGAGAGCAATGTAGACAACAATAAAAAATAGGTCAAATTAGAGATCGGACAAAAATAAATTGGAGCTAAGATGAGAACAAATTCAGCAACATTTGCACCATCCTGCCTCGCTAATTTAACTCCCACATACTCCAAGGCATCCTCCAATCAATCTGTTCTGCGCAAGTAAATTACATGAAGTGCAAATAACAATCTAAAAGATTTAGAAGAAAACAAGAAGCAAATAGCACCTTCTTCCATTAAAAGTATGAGAATAACTGACATAGCCAAATATAAGACGAAGAAAATTTTTAAGACATCATGTTGTGGAATCTACCATAAGGTCACCTCAAAGTGAAATAAGTAGATTGCTTGAACTGATGCAAACGCTATGATTGTTGCTTAGTAAAAAAACAACAAACTTGCTAGCAATTTCAGCACTAATATTGCTTGTACATATCAAATACACTGATATACCATGTAAGACTTGTTACCTGTTTAAAACACTTTCAGTATCTTTAACAATCTTGGGATGTAATTTAATGTGCAACACCAAAATTCTTCCTTTTGGTCCCGAAGTTACTCCAACTACTTTTGCCACGAAGTCTACACATGCCTGCACAATTAACAAGAAAACTTTACTAATCATTCATCACTTAAAAATATTATACAAGAAATAAGTAATAGATGTAAACCAGAAGCTTCTCCAACGCTGAACCATTATGGTTAAAATAGAGTTCTTTAGCCATAGCTATTGCATTTAGCATAGAACTTATAGTTTCAATTAAAGCTACAATACGGTTCATACATGAACATTGATGGCTAGGGATAAACAGTACGCCTATGTTTTTCGTTTTGCTTCGTCATCATGAAAGTTTGTTAAAATAAAAAAAAAAAAATCATCTAGTTATATATATGATCAATCATCATCAACAACCCTTTTAAAATCAGGGTTCAAGGTTCCAAGAATAAGAACCATTGAGACAGTTTTTAAGATGACCTTAGAGGGGGCACTTTTTAAAAAATTGATAAACAAGACCTATGAGACAGTGAAATAAAAATATCTTGCACAAAGCCTTTTTTTTCCTTTTCCGTTGGGGTGCTGTATGAATAAGTGTATCTAAACATTCATAAGATAATTAGTTGAAAGTTAATTATAAATATACCCATAATTGTGTTGTATATAACATGAATATGATAATTACTACCAACTTTTGGAAAACATAAATCAAGTATGAAAAGCCAAAATCAGTTTGAAACATATAACTTGTTTCTGTTCATAGTAGAAAAATGAAAAATAAAATGCACAGCAGACATAGCAACCTCCTTGGGAATAGAAATAGCTCTTCTGTGACATGCAATATTGTATCTGACTGTAAGGATAGCAAGCAAAGAAGCTTTGCATGGCATATAGTGCAAATTAAATCAGAATTTGATTTCTTTCTTCTTCTTTTTTTTGCCGAGTCAAGTACACAATAGGGGAGAAAAGTGGATTTCATTTGAAAAAATACATCACCATAAAATAATAATAAAAAGAAACATGGTAATTAGAATAATATACCTTTCTTATATAGAAAGACATGATTAAACATCTTTCAGCCTTTTCTGTCCTCCAAAGGTCAAGAACGACATCAATCTTCCATGAAAATAGAAGTGAATGAGATGGTAGTGTTTTCATAGTACAGAGAGAAAAATGTTGCTAAAGACCAGAACATAGCAATAAAATTTCTCTCAAAGGATGACCAATCCTCTCAAATGTCCCAAATAATAGTAACATCATCTTCAAAATAACCTTCTTAACTTTTCCATTTTTTGTAAGGGCTTATGCAATCCAACATCACTATAAAAACATCTTTTTTGAAGAATATTTTAGATTGTGATCTTGCAACAAAATTATAACGGACAATCTCTTTTTCAGCTAAAGCAAGGCCAACCATTTCTTTGAAGATGAATAGAGGCATAAAATTTTGACAAGCTGCCTTCCTTGAAATAAGTCAATATTCATTCCCAAAACTTTTTGTCTTTTGTGCAAGCAACCTTATAATTTCAATATATTTTCACTACCAGAAAGGTTTTACACCAATATGGAATAAAGCCAATTAAAATAAGAAAAAGTGAATAACTCCAAAGACCCCAAGACCTGCCATGTTTACATTGACTGATTGGAAAGGTCCAATGTCTCAAGCGATTTGGTGATTGGTAAATGAAAGGTAATAAACAAATTATACCTTAGCATCAACTTCCAAAGAATTGATGTAGAGTTAGTTACTTGGATCCTACAATGAGAACCAAGAAAGCCAAAATAAGTCTTACAAACCAGACAAATGCTAGGAAAATACAGTGTTATATTACCAACTTAAAGGTACCTTTGGTGACATCTAGTTGAAGATACAAAGTTGCTCTATCAATTTGCAATCATCAACATGCCTTATATGCATGTTCTTTCCCATGTTAAGATTCATCTCACTCTATTGGCCAATTAAGTTCCATTCTACGTTTTTTGTCTAACTTGATAACATATTTAGAATTAAACAGTCACAGCAATACAACTCAGCAAGAAAACCCACCAAGCACAAGTTATATGATACATGATAGAAAACTTACTATTATTAATTGTTTAGTAAGGAAATAAAGGAGTATAAATTCCAAATTTCTAGTACTAACTTTTACATATGAGTTATGAAGGTTAATAACATGTGGATCCCTTGTATACATTTGATCAAACAACTACATGACAATGCGGGGTAGAATTGCTAACATGCACAACTTAGTCATATCCGTTTTCTTTTCTGTGAGAAAAACTACCTCACTCGTAAGTGCTTTAAAAGCCATCATATGGGAAGAATGATCAAAAAGGTTGAAAGAAAAATGGATCACGCAATAGCTTAACAAGTGAAAGCTAGATCAAGAATCAAGAGGGTTGATCATTTCAGAACTAACTGAAACATAAAGGGAACAAAATAGGAGCTCAAACAACTGAACAGGAGCTGAAAAAAATTCAGTATTCATTGTCAAGAAATCATCAAACTACACTATATTCACTCATATTGAAAATCAATAAGATACCAATACCACTAATGAGTAAATACGATTTGTCTTGATGACTATATATTATAAATACAGTACGTAAAAATATTAAAT